TTGGAGGCAGTTCTTAAAAGGTGTGCATTGTTTATAAAGTGCAAAGAATGTGACACTTTTTGTTTAGCTCTCTACTAGCCCTCAAGAAAAGAAGAAAGAAAGAGAAAAGAAGTGAAAAAGATAGTAACAAAAAGGGTAAATAAGAAAAGAGAGTTGCCACAAAAAGGTTGTCTATGCTCATAAAAATTGTTTCTCGCCAGTCAAGCTATTGAGACACTTACATGTTTGTTTACCTCCTTCACTAATTTGCTTGAAAATTGTGATAGCATATGTAGCAAATAAAGTATGTTGTGAATGTGTTCGTGATTGGTTGTGGTTTGGAATTGTGGAATGGGTGGTTTGTGGTTGTTGTGAGTGGCCTCGTGTTGTTATGATTGGTTTTTGAGTGAATTGTGGAACCGCATGCTACATGTACCACCACACAAAAAGCATTTTTACCATGTCCAAGACCCTAGACAGTCATCTGAACCCGTGTGTAAGACCTCAGTACAAGCTAATGATGACAACCATCTTGTGAACTCTAGCATTTAGAGGCTAATGTTATGGTGAAGAGATGATGGGGCTAAGCATTTGAGTATACACATCTATTGCATCAATATGGTCCCGACCCCAATGGCGAGAGTGAGTGATTCATTCAGCTTATCTTGTTCATATCATATATCACGGTGAGGACCTAGTTGCTCGATCGTTTGTTTGTATGACTTGATCTTGATGCATGGATAATTTTGATTGGTGATTCGTCATGGCAGGTTGTCTATTGGTTTGAGAACAAGGTGAGGCCTCTTCATTTGCACGTCCTTAATGCACTCGAATGTCGTTTGTGGTAGTTGCTAGGATTACTGTTTCTGTTGTCCATATGTTGGTGCCAAATAGATGTAGAGAGCCATCCACTTTGCGCCCTTTTACGTGTCCATTAGTTATTGTATTTTAGGTTGAAAGATTACCTTGTTTGTGATTGGTTTGATTTAGAGACAAAAAAACATCTAAGTGTGGGGTAGTTTGATTCATGTGTAATTGCACATATTTGTACCCCTTTATCTTGTGATGTTTGTCGCATTTGCATTGTCCGAGGAGAAATTTTATGCTAGGTTTGTGAGTGTTATATCATGTTTCAGATCTCAATAGATGAAATTAGCTCCAGGGATCGAAATTCGAACAAAACATGGCAAAAATGGAGCAAGGATGGGCAAAAGATAAAGGATCACGCTCAGGGGGAATTTATCACCATCAACAGACCATGAAGATGGAGCTCGGACCGTGACTTTGGACAATTTCCAGGAGGCTTCGGATGGATCACAGGCAAGTCAGTTATCATGGTCCCTTGACCGTGATGTTCTTCAGCAGCCACTTATGTAGTTTAGTAAAATGACTGCCCCGAGATTATGGTTAAGCGTTCAACATCATAAGCATTATATCTTACCGTGAAAAGAGCCTGACTCGAGTATAAAAAGGAGAGAGAGCTGAAACATGGAGGGGGAGTGATTCAGGCTACACATGTTTTCACCCCATATTCTTGTGATGTTTGAATCGTTTGCATCACCTAAGGTTCAATTTTATGCTAGGTTTTGTATGTTTTTAGCATTTTTCAGGTCTTAGTAGGTGGAATTGACCGCGACAACGAAAGAGGACCAAAAGAGGTGGGTGAAAGGAGCGAAATGGACAAAAAGGCATAAGTCACGCCCAGAGGAGCATTATCACAGGCGGGTGACCGTGACAATGGTTCTCAGACCGTGAAGATTGACGGGATCCAGGAGCATTTGCATGCTTCGGGGGAAAGTCGAAGTTACAGGGCCAGAGACCATGACATTTCCGCCCCGACCGTGAAGTCTCTAAATGAAATTACACATTTTCTGCTCGAGATCACAAGCAAGCCTTGAGATCACGACTGTGACTTTTGAGCGTGACAATCACCTGACTAGAGTATAAAAGGAGGGGATGAACTTAAATTAAAGGAGGACTTCTAGAGTGAGATTGGCTTCTTTTTCTTGAGATAGATAGAGAAATTCACGAACCAAAGGAGGAAGAAGGAGTTCTTGACCTACCCAAGGCTTGAAGAATGGATATTTCTCCTCCAAGGAGATTGAGGCGCGGCACCTGAACATGTTGAACATGTCCAGTTCTCCGGTGGGGTCTGATGTCGGTGTAGCGCCAATTCTCGAACCCGCCTCCATACTTCGGGTGATCCACCAGATAATAAATAAATGGGTAGTTTGGATCCACCATCTTGTGAAAACATTAAAAAGGCACGCACCATACGTGGAAACAATCATCAAATAAAGCCCATTGGGGAGGAATGTAACACCCCCACACTTAAGATTCCACATTGGTTACATGCATTCATAGGCCTTTCACAAGCTTGGTTTAACAACAATTAAGTTCAAACACCTTGTTCGCTTATTCTCACACATAACCGTACTCCCGAACCCAGAACTTTATTTTCGCAGACCATGTCTCGGTTTTGACCCTAAGGTTAGAGCCAACCGAACAGTGTCCAATCCACTCCAAGTAAGATCAATGACGACTCCCAAAAAGCGAACGCGACCCCGACCCCGACCCCGGAGGGACAGTTGCGACACTTAGCAACCATTGATCAAGCAAGAGCAGTTTTTAGCTATTTTTCCTCGATCGTGAGGAGGGTCAATATAGTCAAGGGGTGTCAGAAGCTTTATCCGTGCTCTTGAAAACACATCCTAAAGATGGCAATCCTATTATATGGGTGAAAATTTTACTTGTACTAGAGAGGAACTAGCATCATCTCGTAGACCTACCCCACCAAGATTAAACTAGTATCTCTTCCAAAACCTACATATCGATCTCATTTGATGTAAGCACATAAGACTCCTTCCTGTGAGGAGAAGTTTGAGAACTAAAAAACGATAGTAGGAAGCACCAATCCATACACTTTTCTTAAGCTGGATCCAAGTCTCATGAAAAGGACATCCTTCATAAGCCCTACAGTAGCCGTCCTTAGGTCACGTATCAACGTAGAGCTAGCAATTCAAAGTATGATAAACTTCGAATTTGCTGGGGGATGTGACATTACTAAAAAAAATTCAAATTTGAGTGCACAAATGCAAACACAAAACCCTTTCCCCAAATGCATGACATTCACAAAACATGGTATATAACATGAAAAACAATTTACCTAAATCACATTCCACTTTTTAAATGGGACAGTGTCCTCATCGGACCAAGCAAGGAGTAGAGAGAAAAGCATAACAAAGTTACGCGTTTTGTCAAAATCCATGCAACTCGGCCAGTTCCTTGGATGATTGGCTTGCTCGAACAAACGAAAACGGAGAAAGCAAGTGGGGTATCTCCTCCTCTATGGCAAAATCTAAGAGGTCCACCTAAGACTACCCACAATGTGGGAGGGAAAGAAGGGGGGACAAACAAGGGGAAAATGGAGGGAAGACCCTCTTGAAGAAGACAAAAAGAGGAGGAAGGGACGGGGTGGGGGCCGCGCGCCTGGATGTGTTTTTCCTTTTTCGTTTTTTGTTATTATTTTTACGGTTTAGTGTTTGTTTGTTTTTAGGGTTTAGTGTTTATTTTTTTTCTTTTTATTATATTTATGTTCAGTTATTAATGCAACAACTTTTTTGTGCAAATTATTATGATTTCGTATTGGTGTCATCATAATTAGTGATGGAAAAATTGTGTCCAAACTAAAAAAAATTATATTGAAATGTTCGTCTTAATTAATTATTACTACCTATGTAAAAATAATGACTAAATTATCAAACTAAAGTTACAAGATCAGCTATAGATTGATTTAAAAAAAAACATACCAAATAAATACAATCCTTTCCCTCCCCACCCATTGTGACCAAACTCTTCCCCTACCCTCTTTTCCCTCCCACATTGTGAGCAGGGGCGGAGCTATGTAGGCCTTAGGGGGGACCCGACACCCCCCCCCCTCCAGAATTTTGAAATTTAGGTGTAAATCGCTTCAAAATTCGAAGGATTACGTATAAAATGAGTGTTTAGTACGAATCCTAAAGTGTGAATAAAAAATTCGTAGAATTCTCTGTTGGTCTTGCGGACGGATGGTTAACCTTGTTCGATGCTGTACAACAACATTTTTGCACGTTTGACAGTTTTTTTTATAAGTTTCATATTTTGCTTGTTAAGTCCTATACCTTCAAATTAAGTTAAGTAGAGTTCTTGAACTCTTGAACTGGTAATTTAAGAATTCTTTTGCTTATATGGTCAATTAGTTAGTTCTTTTTGAAGCACTAATACAAATAGTAAGTCATTTTTCAATTAAAAAAATATTGAATATTAAGTTAAGTAGAGTTCTTGAACTCTTGAATTGGCAATTTAAGAATTCTTTTGCTTATATGGTCAATTAGTTAATTCGTTTTGAAACACTAATACAAATAGTAAGTCATTTTTCAATTAAAAAATATATTGAATAATATGGTATACACTATACATTGTCTTGCACAGTTAATTTTGTTTTTATATAATTTGCTCATTGTCTTTCATACTCCGACTACTACGACTCCATCAAACTTGTATTTATTCTAAGAGCGAAAAACAAATGTGTCAATTGGATCCCAAAAGAGACAACAAAAGGCTATGCCACTTCATGCATCTAAATTTTGAATATTATCTTCCATCTAATTTTGAATATTATCTTCCATCTAATGTAAGATGCTAATGAAATCTCTTAATTTTTGTATAAAGAAAAATTAGTTATTTTATCAATTAAACCCTAAAACATCTACATATATCCATAAAGAATCTAGCGTGTCCCATTCCGTCACTTTTTTTACCCTAGATTTTCTCAAAATCGCATTACACCCTCATCCAGACATCCTCTTATGTTGTCAGAACTCAGAAACCAAAACGAAATGAAGAAGAGTTAAAAAAAAAAAAAAACAGATTGAAGAAAAGAGCAGGCTCATGGCTGTCATGGTTCATGGACTCACGGTGGTGGTGGTCACGCTCAAGGGGATGGGAATTTGCTGGATTCGGAGTTCCCTCCTCCAGCTGGGTTTTGAGAGTTTTGTTTTGACGACTCTCTCTCTCTCTTTCTCTGCTACTGTGAACTGTCAAATTTCCGATTTCTCCCATTTTTCTTCTTCGGTATGCGGAGTTCGTTTTGGTTCACTTCCACAACTTTACCAAGTGTTAATTAATTAATGCCAAGCCCGCTTTCCTTTTCAATTTTGCTTTCACTTTACTGTTTCTCTCTCTTCGCTGCAACCTTTTCTTGCTTCGTTCTCCTTCCATTCACATCTCTCTTCCCTTTCTCTTTCTGTGTGACCTGTGGTTTCCTCCATTGCAAACCAAGCTTCCTTCACTTTCCATCTTTTTTCACCCCCCTTCTCCCCTGAGAGCTCTGTCTCTCTTTCTCTCCCCCTACCCACCAACTAACTTCCCCTGTTCCCCAATCGTTTATTCTCTTGCATCTTCCAATTTTTCTCCACTCCTTATTTGTATCCTTTTGGCCCACATTTTGGGTTACCTTCCAAACGACTCCTCTTTCTCTGAAACTGCGGTGGTGGGTTCCTGTTTACAAAAGGGATTTCTGGTTTTTGGTGGGTTTGTGCTGGTCTTCAGGTCTACATTGCCCAATCTATGCTTATAGAGCCTCATTTGCTTCATAGAGGAGAAGCCCTTTCTTTCCTCCTCTGGCTGCTCAAGGAAGAGGATCAAGGGGGCTAGCTACATCCCTACCTTTCGGATTTCTTCACACAAGGTAAAGATATGCTCTTTCCCATCTTCCTTCCTTCCTATCTTTCTTTTACTCTTCTTTTTGAGCGACTCAAATTTCTTTTTCATCTGCCTCTTACTTGGATCGTAAGTGATGCTTGTTGTGAGCTTTTGTTCTTTTCTTCCTTTTTCACTTGTTTTGAACTGTGGCTTACTGAGCATTGTCTTCTCGTTGAAGTTTGGTATGATTTTCCGGTTTTGGATGTTGAAGAGTTCCATAAGATTTAAGTTGTCGATTTGTCCTCCCTTTTACGCCTCTTCCAAGGATTAATGGCAATCTTTGCGAAGCATGGCATGGAACAGCAAATGATAATGCAATTAATGTTACTCTGAATCTGGCATTCGTTTTGCTGCTCTTATCTCCTCTTCTTTCTTTCTGGTTTGATTCCTTTGAAGTGTAAGTTAGGTCCTGCGTTCTCCCTTTTAATGTTGAATGACTCAGGTTGCTTCCCCGGTCATGAGTTCATATTTGCTTCTCAGAATCACAAATACATGTATTGTTCAACGTCTTTTATATTTATTTTATATATGTTGTCCATTGGTTTTCATTCCTGGTTTCCATCGATCAAAACACTCAAATTGGGCTGCCCTTGTATTTCATGTTATCTGATATTCAGGTGGGAATGTTCTAATCCTTTTGTTGTCTGAACTGGGAACGGGTAGCGCAGAAGGATCAGCAATGTCGTCTGAGAGTTTGAATGCTGAGTTAACCAAGAAGACATCAATTTTGGGTTTGAAACTCTATGCGTTGATAGGGATATCTGTAGGTGCATCCATAATTTTGATTCTTTGCGTCCTGTCAGTATGGGCTTTTCGTAGGAGATCTAGAAGATCAATGGACTCCCTCTCTCAGATACCAAATGTTTCAAAAGATATTAGGGTTGACAGGGTTGGGGCTAATAAGAGTTATAGTGATCAGCCTGATAGTCTATTCCTCACTATCAATGATAAATCAAGCGATAAGAATTCAGAGAAGATGATTAATCACTTGGGGATGAGCAAATCAAGTGATCCTGATAACATCAGTCAATGCAGCTCGGTATTTCATCACGAGAAAGGATTTAGCTCTCAATCTGGGGAAGAAGGAAGCTCTGGGACCATGAGGAAGCAATCTTCATATCCAGGACTTGTGACAGCCTCTCCCCTGGTTGGCTTACCGGAATTCTCACATCTTGGGTGGGGTCATTGGTTTACTCTTAGGGATCTTGAGTTTGCGACAAATCGTTTTGCAGCTGAGAATGTGCTCGGTGAGGGTGGTTATGGGGTTGTTTACAAGGGAAGACTGATTAATGGAACCGAGGTTGCTGTCAAGAAAATTCTCAACAATCTGTAAGCAAGCTTTAAAAAACAAGCCATGTGTGACTTTTTAATAATTGGTATAATAAATGATAGTGTACTATCTTTAACCCTTTGCAATTCTTTGCACAATACTATAGGGGACAGGCAGAAAAGGAATTCAGAGTTGAAGTGGAGGCCATTGGTCATGTGCGTCATAAGAATCTTGTCCGTCTTCTTGGATATTGCATTGAAGGGGTTCACAGGTATGTGGTATTATCTGGCTTCATAGTTTCCTTTAGTTCCTTTGTGAACATGCTTATAAGGGAAATGAGTATATAACGTCTTGGAATGTGGGGTAAGTACAGATTAGGTTATCTGTATGTTTAACAGTTTCGGAACTAATTCTTTCTCCTGTTATATAGGATTCTCGTGTATGAATATATGAACAATGGCAACTTAGAACAGTGGCTTCATGGGGCGATGCGCCATCGTGGTATCCTCACTTGGGAGGCTAGAATGAAAGTTCTTCTTGGGACTGCTAAGGCGTAAGCATCTCTAAATATCCTTATCCCATGCCTTTGTTTGTCGATTCTGATGCAGGAATTGCCTTGCCTCATTTGCAGCCTTGCTTATTTGCACGAGGCCATAGAACCTAAAGTTGTACACCGTGACATAAAATCAAGCAATATCTTGATTGATGATGAGTTTAATTCCAAGGTTTCTGATTTTGGGTTGGCAAAGCTCTTGGGTGCGGGAGAGAGCCACATCACAACAAGAGTTATGGGTACATTTGGGTATGCAATTTATTTCTCTTTTTTCTTTTCGGCGCAAACAAGAGTATGAAATTAACCTGGCTCAGGTTTTGCTTTTTCTTGCGGAATTCAGATATGTTGCACCAGAATATGCAAATACTGGCTTGTTGAATGAGAAGAGCGACATTTATAGCTATGGGGTACTGCTGCTAGAAGCAGTCACAGGGAGAGATCCTGTGGATTATGGAAGGCCTGCTAATGAGGTATCCCTGCTCCTTTCAACTATACGATTGTCTTCTGTATCTCGAAATAAAGTAAGGGCTGCTCTTTTTTTCTCAAATGACTTGACCATTCTAGGTGGCGTTGTTTATGGTTACAGGTCAACCTTGTGGAGTGGCTTAAGATGATGGTAGGGACAAGAAGAGCTGACGAAGTTGTGGATCCAAATCTTGAAGTCAAACCTGTAACCCGTGCTCTAAAACGCGCCCTCTTGGTTGCACTTCGCTGTGTTGATCCCGATTCAGAAAAGAGACCGAAAATGAGTCAGGTAGTACGGATGCTTGAAGCTGAGGAGTATCCTTTCCGTGAGGTATGCTTACAGAATCTTTCCTCTCTTTGCTGCAGCAGGTTTCTAGCTTTTTTCTTCCTACCTTTGAACAACACCACCCATGAATGTATAACACACTAGTTTCGTCCCAAGTCTCAGCTGTTTAATGTTTAGTCCTTGTTTGTGATTTTCAATCAGAAAATGCACTTTTTCATTGATGGAATGCTAGGATGAGCCTCTCTAATCTGAACTGCTACACCTAGACTGCGTTTAAGAGTTAGAAGTGGTTGAAATGGTAAATGAAGTTGTTGTTCCTACTTGGAGTCTAAGTTTGCTTTCACAGACTAACCGGCCTACTAAGCGGCCCTAATTGCTTGTGCACTTTGGAATTTGGTATAATTTGATCCACATTGGTGGGGGGATATGCATGATATATTTGTGGGTGTTGGATTCTTCAGGACCGGAGAAACCGCAAGAGCCGAACTGCAAGCATGGAAATTGAATCTATGAAGGAATCGGCAGAATTGGAAAGCAAGGCAGGGGAGGAGTCAGCTTAGAGCGAGCTGGTAGTATCTGAAAAAAAAAAAAATAACGGGCAGGAGGATAACTGACTGTACACCAGCAGATGCTAAAAGGAAAGAGGAGACTCAGGTTTCTCATTCGACATTGCAACTTGCAAGCTTTAGAATAACTCATATACCTGACCATACGATAAGGTAAGAAAGAGAAAAGACTGGAAAATGTGTGCTTTCCATGGAAATTGGCCACCCATAATCGGAAAGTTTTTCCGCAAGTGCATTTTGTCAGTTGGGACGATTATGATATTTATGCACAACCGAGGATGGCATTGGCATATATGTTATGAGGAGCTAATGAAAGAGATGTTACAAGATCGAATCTGGGTGCCGTTATGCTGTTCATGTTCAGGCTGGTTTATGTGCAGGAGAGGGTTTTGGTCTCTGGTGGAGAGCCTTCCAGGAAGGTTTTTTTTTGGTCTTCCTTTTGGTTTTTAACTTTTAATGGACGTAGTACTGTTTTGATTCTAATATACAGGAGTGGAAGATCGCTTCTTTGGTTATTGTGTTTTCTCTTTATGCTGCAAATTTGCCACGGCTACAGATGAGCCTAGTTAATGCAAGTTTTGCCTAACTCGACCTCGGCTCGTTGATAAACGAGTGAAGTTCGCGCTTAGCTCGTTTATTAACAAGGCGGGTCGAATTCGAGCTAGACTCGTTTAGTAAAACTTTTAATTCATGTTTGATATTTGTATGTCATGCTTGATTCATGAGATTGACGTCATTATGGAAAAAAATATTAGTTTTATTTGTCAGTAAATAATTTTATGTTTGTATCTCTCGCCAATTTTTTTTAATGTTTGTATCATATTATGTAGTTGATAATTTATAACTAGTTTATATCATGTTATATCGTATTAATTAGTATGAATGTGATACATATTTTATTTTTATTTAAATTATAAATGAGAAATATTTGCTTACATATTCAAAATCTTAAGCGTGATATATTTAAGGAAAAATACACCTATATTTCCATTCAAAATCTTAAGCTCTCGATGTTGTATAGCCAATTTCCATTCAAAACTTTAACGGAATTTACACAATAGATGGAAAGTAACAACATACCATTAAACTTTGAGAACTGGGGGGAAGAGTATCACTAAAGTCAATTTAGGATACGGGATACCATGTAAGTCAATAATGTGTCCTTCCATTTTCCCTTCTATTTCACTAACGGACTTAAAAAAATCAACTCGTCGTTGTCTTGTGGCTTTTGAGGTTCTTATAGCTCGTTTGCAGTTCTATCATTGTTGCCTTCTGCTTATCGAATATAGTGGGTTGTTGGTTGGAGGCAACTTCTCCTTGCGCCTTATATTGAGGTTGATTGCCAAATCAAAGTGGACTTGGTTTCTTTTGCCATTTCGCTTTCATAAGGTGTATCGCTAGATGTGATGTTGGGGTAGTCTTCAAGCTTCTTTCCTCCGGGGGCACGCCATTGACCATACGGTATGTGCGGTTGGTTGAATATTTGATAAAGAGGATAACTCTCTTGTTGAGGTATCGATTGATATCCTTGGTTTGTGTAGTTGACATTAGCAAGTTCTTGCCCTCCTTGGCTATAGCAGTCGAAACCTTCGTGGCCTTCTTCTCCTCAAGCTTCACAAATGAACAAGGATGCCACCGATCCATTCTTTGGCTCCATTGAAGCTTTCTTGAGTTGATGGGTCAGCTCATTCATGTGTGCACAGAGGGTGGTGACTTCATCCTCCCTTCCTTAGACAACTATCAATGGTTTTATCATTGACGGACGCTTGGATTAGTTCTTTGACTTTCTTGCTAGTGTGGCAAAATGTTCTTGGCATTGCACTCTCATCATTGTTGTGAAATCTCCATTGGCCGACTGGTTTACCATCAGCTTGGTGTCTCGATCTAGACCTTTCGAGAAGTACTTTGCAATCTGCTCTAGTGTAAATCAATGATGGGGGCATCGGTGGCCCTGATCGACTTCGTCGGAGGAAGACTTCGGCAACCTACGGGGCGCCATTGATGGCTGGATTTTGTCAGTGTATCCAATACAGAGATCTTTTACTCTGTTTTCTTAATAAGATGTCGGTCGTCTTGAATAACATGGTTTCCAAGGCCAAGTTTAAACATCATCTAATCTAATGGTTTTCTATTAAATAAGATCCTCTGTTAAAGGCTGGAATATGATGGCATCGTTGGTGTGCCTATCACCTTGGATCGCTTGGTTTCATGGATCCACGGCTAGCTGCTGGCGTGGTTCTGGCCATCAATGATTTCTGTTTCCCATCAAAGCTCCGACGAACCGATAACTGCCGTTGATAGCAATCAGTTTTGCAGTCGGTACTTTACGTCCTATGCCGTCGACGAGGGGTGGTGGCCGCCTGTGGTGAAGCTAGCCATTGATTGCGCTGGTATTTTTGAATTCCGTTAATTAAGCCTTCAATTATTTTTATTTTTATTACTTTATTTTCATCTTCCTATTTCTTTTAATTAGCTTGACGGTTTTCCTCTTTGATTTGTTTTAATTTCTCTATTGACTATCTTATCTTATCTTATCTTATCTTATCTTAACATATATTAAAGCGTTTTTAATTTAGACCTCCTGCCACGTACCCCTTGCTAGCATTTTATGCGGCCACGTCAGCCACTCTATTTCCCCAACCGCCCAAACTCTACGCTGCATTTTCTTTTCCTCTATGCCCCCTATTACGGTATTACCCCATGTCGAGAATAACATATCTTTCCTTTAACATATTTTATTTACGGATTGTAATTAGTAATTACACTATGCAACTATCAATTGTTCGATTCCCTCTGCCGATGCACTCCAAAGTCCAAACCCTAGTCCCCAGCCTTCTTCCGTTTGAGTTTGCTTACTTTGTCTCCGCACTGACATAGGGCTTTCTCTACGCTCGGAGTTTGCTCAAAATTTCAACAGCAAAGCATGGATAATCACTTCTAAGAGTTCAAATTTATAATTTAGTCACCTAGATAAGATTAAGGAACTAATTAATTAGTTAACTATTTTACATTAGTAGGCTTGAACATTTATATCTTATCATTACCATTCACCAATATGTTTATAAATATATGGTCCATACGAGCGTACATCTGACATACGCTTAGTTTGCCGTACATCCGTCCATTTTTGTTATTTAAATATTGAATTAGTTGGAGTTTGGAGTATAATATATCTAACTTATAATGGGTGAACTCAGTCTCCAATTTTTTTTTAACTCAAATCATAAGATTCATTCAATCTCAAAATGAAAATTAACTGTTATGATTCATCAGAATTATCAATGTACACTTCTAATTTGTTGGAATTATCCGTGAACGGAGACATACACTAACTTTTGCCATATATATTATATATATAGTCTAAACAAGGTACAAACTCATTATTCAATTGGCAAAAAAGTTGATATGTATTAAAAATCTGTGGTATGTTATAATCGTTTGAGTTACAAGTATAAAAATAACAATATAAGAACTAGAGAAAATAAAATAAATACATGTCAAATTAATCCCGGCCAAAGGCCGGGCAAAAAGCTAGTTGATTAATTAGATGCTTTCTTTGCGGCAGAGGTTAGGCTTTCCCCTTTCCCTTATTGATTTGGTCTTTATTATTTGATTAGATTTGATTTAAATTCCGTTTTTCATTTTCCTTTGTTTTAAATTTTATTTTACTTCCAGTGATTGTTTCATTTTTAGTTTTTTTTTTTTTTGCTTCTGCTGTTCAGATTACCAATTTACCTTCCTGCTTTCTTTATACTTGTAGGCCCGGCCTTTCTTCTTTTATTTTATTTTACTTTTTGTTTCTCGTTAGTATTTTTATTTTTATCTTCTTTTATTATTTTTTCTGTTCAATTATTTTGGTCGAGCGCATCTTCAACTTGTGAGTTGTGACACAAAGCTAGTCTCGAGTTTACCTCTTCCATGGTGATTTAGTCATACCACAGACTCCATCGACTTCTAAGGTGATGGAACTCTTTCAATTATTTTTGTTAAATCCTATTATGATATTATCAATGTTTATATATCAAAATTACTTGTCCTTAGCGATGCTACGAGATGGTATCTTACTAATAATGTATTGATTGTCACATGTTGTGTGGATTCTCAACTGATCATCATGGATCCATCGAGGAAGTCTTCCCTTCCCGGAGCCATTTTCAGGGAAGTTTTTTGACTTTTTCTCTATTCCTGTCCCCATGTCAGTTTCGTGTCTTTTCGCTCCTTGGAGCTTTCATAGAGATGCCCACTTGTGGCATAACAGGCTCTTTTATCGGGAGTTCGGTTGCAAACGGGCTACCGTTCTTTATTATTATGTATTTTGTATCTTGTTGTCCGGCCATGCCCTGGGGGCTTATCTTGGATAAAAAAAAATGATGGGGGCATACCTTGATCTACTACTGAAATCTCCTCCAAGCATCATAGAAAGTCTCTCTTTCATTTTGTTGAAATTGAGTAATATCATCTATAACTTAGAGAAAGCTATGAGCAAAGGAGAATTGAAGGTTGATTGGACCTACCCAAGCCATTTGGAGGCAAGATTTCAGCTCCAAGAATCCATCCAAACAACTAGGAAAAGGAAGATTCAAGTTTTCATGGGGTTTCTTCTATTCTAGTTGTTGTTTCTTCTCTGGCTATGAAGTAGTTCCTCTTTTCACTTGGAAGATGTGAACCCTAGTCTAGGATGTTGTAGATTGATGTTTGTGAACTCTGTGTTGATGAGTATTATTGATCGAGTTATTTTCATGAAAATTGAGTGTTCTTGATCAAATCCCTCAACTTTGGGGCAAAATGACTTGAGAGGGAGAAAATCCCCATATGGCAATTCGAGTCACTTCGCAATCAACGTAGAGTGCCATGAAACATCGTGATTAGTAACTCTTCGCCTTTCCGGGTTAATCTAAGAGTGAGTGGAATTGTTTGCCTTAATCATCTTTTGTGGTAGTGTGGTACGCCCCTCCAATTAGACCGACTAACTAGGCTAGGATGCATTCAAATAAGGGGTCCTAGCTATTTTATATCTCCTAACGGTATATGAACTTGCCTATTGTACTAGAGTATCACATTCTCATCTCAACACGGAACTAGGGGGGATAATCATCCGAGTGAAGTCTTCTCACTTGAATTAAATATCATTTTAATTGCTTGCTTAGTTAATTAGTTTTAAATAACATTTTGATTGCTAGATATTTTGTAGATTGCTGAAGTAAGGATATATAGATCGCCTGAATTTGATAATTGAATAACTTGCTCTAAACTCACCTGATCATAGGTTATACTTGGCCTATGATTGAGATTGATAAGTTAGTAGCGAGCCACTCACGTGCATATTTATATGAAAAGACCGAAAAAATCTAATAATTAACCCGAGACTATGCAACCCGTTTTCCAATAATTAACCCTATAATTACTGCAAATACTACTCAATAATTATAAGAGAATAAAGTGGTTTCTAACAGTTTGTCATTCCACCATCGAATGGGTACAATTGGATTTGTTAACCATACTACAATTTTAAAGAACTTACTAGTGTCATAAACCAATTGGTCCCAATAACTCGAATTGTTGGGAGAGGCCAATATATGGTACTTAACCATTTCCTTACACACCCCTCTAACGAAAGCCGACTCAAGGGCTTGAAGTTTGCACAGGCCCGTCATACCATGTGTTTGAGGACAATGGTTAATATTGAGGGTTGTGAGAACTTGAACATGTTACCTCAAGGATAACCAGCTCTGATATCATGTCATAAACCAATTGGTCCCAATAACTCGAACGGTTGGGAGAGGCCAATGTATGGTACTTAACTGTCCTTACAATTGTTGATATATTACATTCAAAAATTATTTTTGTAAAAAATTACCACTAAACTATGCTTAAGTAGTAAGGGTTCATTCAAGCACTAAACTAAATCTCAGTTTAACAATTACCAAGGCTACAAAAATTGAACCTAATTTACCACACACACAGAAATGCATAAAACATCATTAGTGAAAAGATGCAGCAAAAACTAGTAATCCAAGAGAGAGGAAGTGTGGAATGGAGGTTTATAATCCATTGTCCCTTTAAACAAAGAGATAAATCATTCCAAGGCGCTACCTGTCACTCGGCGCAATTTTTAACAATGGAGGAGAGGGGGGTGGTCATGAATTTCACATATGAAAAGAAGTAAAGTAGTAGTCTAACAAGTAAGAATACATGACTATGGTACGTCATCTGCAATTCTTGTCAGTTGCAGCATATAATACAAGAAACACAGCAATACAAATTACCCCCAAACAAAAGGCGACTTAAACCGAGTACTTCCCCATGTTCTAGTAGAAACGATTTCTCCTTTCGTTCCGCCAAATTCAGGAATCCAAAACTAGTGTTTTCCTTGTTCCCACCCGATTCCGTTCTAACCAAGAGCCTTATGTGCATCTTCTTAGCTACAACCCAATTTCCCAGCTAAAAGAATTACCCACCATAAACCCAAATTAACTTGAGCAGCACCCCATTCTCTTGAGAACAGACCCTTCCTGCTTGACATCTATGGTCTCTCCCTTAAGAGAAACAGAGGTACTTCCATCAGAACTTCCCTCAACAGCCCGCTTACTCACAATCTTGTATATCTGGCTCAGGACTTCAGTGAATGCACTCTCCACATTTGTTGCAGTCAGAGCTGATGTCTCCATGAAATAGAGGGACTCCCTCTCCGAAAATGCTTTGGCATCCTCGGTTTGGACAGCTACCAGGTGCCTGAGGTCCGATTTATTCCCAATCAGCATGACCACGATATTAGGGTCCGTATGATCCCTCAACTCCTTCAACCACCTTGCCACGTTCTCAAAGGTAGAGTGTCGAGTCACATCATAGACAAGCAACGCACCAACAGCTCCTCGGTAGTAAGCACTAGTGATGGCTCGGTACCTGAAAATCAAGAAGAAAAAAAAGAACTCTTATGTTGCGACTTGATGGGATTGTTTTGCAGCAGCTAAAACGAAATAAAAACATTAAGCATATGCTCTAAAAGCATTGATTCCATCAATTCTCCACTATTTATGCGATTAGGAGTACTATTGACAATGTTCAACACAACGCTCCGAAAGTATGGGAAAAAGACCACAAGTAAATTTGTAACCATGAGATTGCATCAGAAGTGATTGTTGCCACATTGACTTTGACAAATCATTACTTCCATGGAGCACCACAATGAACTATTAGTTGCGTGAAAAAGAAAGGAAAGCAGATGGATACAGTTCGCTGAAATACTGGATAAGACTTAGTAGCAAGCACAGTTCATAAGACTTTCTCGAGTTTTTCATTTTCAAATTGATCAAAATCATCTCTTCTGCCATCCTTTTCGACCATGAAGAAGTATCTGAAATGTGTAACTAGACAGCTTCACCAACACTCCACATCTCCAGCTTCAAGAGCAGGCGACCCACTCCCAACCTCCTCTGGCCCCATCATACAAAGTGAAGGACGTTTGAAAACTGAAGCCAATTATCTTACAAGAGGAAGCATGCTCTAATCAAAGCCTTCACATCTTCATCAAACTTTCAACTTCTGCGGTCTAAGTTTCGATAAGATTCCATATGCGGAAAAAGAAAGAACAGACACCCTCTGATTCTAAGACGAATTCACAATCAACCACTAAGATATGCTTAATTGAATCTGAAACATGTAAATATAGCAACTTTAAGCGATAAACAAAAGTCAGTTCAATTTTACAGGAACTCATAAGAATCACAACCTTAGTTGGGCAAAGTTATTCAGGTTACTACACAAACCATGAGAACATCAAGTCTGACTTGAAGTGTCTCAACACTGTTACTAAAAACTGGCCCCTTCATGATTTACAGCAGCTGATTCCACTCAACCATTTTAGCTGGTCAACTGGCTATATTGCTGATTCAAGTCATATTAGACAGATTGCACGACGATTTTCTTGGAATTCAGTAGCAAGACTAATTTCACTTGTACTTCAGTTTTGTTTTCCAAGAAACTAGAAACCCTACCAACTTCCCATTTGGGCTTTCCATGGACCATAATCCCAAGCACTTGAACACAGTTCATGCTATTTCATAATTGGGTAGCTTTCAGATCCTTTTTCTTCTTAATTCCTAGATATTAGGTCAGAGTACAAAGGAAACATATATTAATAACCTAGAGCATGCACCTCAAATTTCTTGTGATGTTCAGTTTCATTGATGAATTCAATTATTAACAGGCACAGACTGCAGAGCTTGCATCGCTCTGTTTCACTGTTGACCACAATGATCGATAGAGATAAAGAATAATGACAACTATTTATAAAGAAAATGTGTCATCGAATATTGGAAAACCAAGTGATTCAAATCAATGACGGAAGTCAGAAAATGAAATACCATCCAGAATGTGAGAGAAATTAAAGAACAAAAGGAGATCCACGAGAAAGATTAGAATCATGGCACACGGAAACAAGGTTACAAGTGCTAATTCAGCTCTTCGTCTTCAGTGGACATACCGTAGCCCCTCCAACAGACTAGTCAGTTCACTGAAGTTGATTGGTGTACTGCACAAACAATTTCCTTAAGAATTCCGGATCACTCTTGTAAGTTTCTAGCTTTAAGTTTCAGAAGTACTTAATAGAAGCACCTTTGTAAGAGAAATCAACTAAAACAATGACATACAAAGCACCCAAGAGCATTCCCTAACCTGCTCCGGTACCAGGGAGCTTCTTTCAAACGTAGATCAAAAGGCATTGTTCCAATTTCAATAATATCACCCAGCAAAAAGGAAACCAACACAGACACGAGGGACAAAAAAGATGGCATGTTTGCCAGTTAAGATCATCCACCCCATTTCTAAATCCACTAATTATATAAAAGCATGCTAAAAAAGTGAGCAAGTTACATCTCAACAACATGTGATAAGGCTTAAGCATAAGCCTCCCGGATCAAGAGAGGCATATACTCCCGATTTAGCAGAGGGAAGGTGTCAGATACAAGAAACTGGAGAAAATTGCAGCTGAGAAACCAGTATGGAAGCAGATCAATTCAAATTGCAAGCCAGATCATAATAGGCAACTAAAACGATCACCGCTGCGCATACCAGATTCGCACCCAGTTGAACACAAGTCGTCGACAAGAAAGAACAAACACCAACCACTATGAAACTTCATCTAAAGAATCCAGAAGCTAGCAGCAGCAGCAGAATCGAAGGAGAAGGCCAGCACAAAGAGTATTCACAGAAGAGGGGGAAACGAGTGAAAAGCAAACATAGAAAACAGACCTTTCTTGGCCAGCGGTGTCCCAAATCTGAGCTTTGATGACCTTGCCATCGATACTCAAGCTTTTGGTTGCGAACTCGACCCCAATAGTGGACTTGGACTCGAGATTGAATTCGTTCTTAGTGAACCTGGAAAGCAAGTTGGATTTGCCAACTCCAGAATCACCAATCAGGACCAACTTGAACAAGTAATCGTAGTCATCTTCAGGTCTGTAACCGGCCATATTGCACGCCCCTTTTTCTCCTCCTCTTCTTCCTCCACAAGCTCAGTAACTGTGAAGCTTATTACACAATTTCAGAGTTCTCGGAGAGATGCTCGGTTCCTTTCTTCGCCTCTCCCTCCTCTTCCTTTGCTTTACCTCCCAATTAGTTGGTCCTCAAAAAGCGAAAATCATAAATAAATAATAATTATAATAACAAATACGGTATAGAACTCAATTCTCCGGCAATCATATGCTTTGTAGGCCGTATATTTTATCTTATGGTTCTTATCCACCGTTTAGTTTTGGCTTAATAGCAGAAAAGGTGCATAGTTTAAAGGGGTTAATTGCAAGGTTAGGTCACTGAGATTACAAAAAACATTCATGTTTAGTCACTAAAAATATTTAAATTCATTCGTGATTACTAAAATTAGTAAAACATTTCAAGATCGGTCACTCTCCGTCCAACTCCGTTAACTTTGACTGATGTGGCAGTCAACTCTCAAAGTTAACCGTTAAATGTGTGACGTGGCACTTAAAAATAATAATAAAAAATTAAAATTTTATATTTTAAATATTCCACCTAATTATTATCATCACTAAAAAAATCTCACAAAAAAAAAAGCCTCTAGGACCATCTCTTCCCTCCACGTGTCCCTGTCCTTCATCCACCGCCATACGTTCCAAACAGCCGTAGCCCTTACAAACACACCCAAAAGAAGCAAAACCTCCATCCATCCTCCGTCATATTCAAATCGGAAATTTTCCAATCTCTACCGGCGAAAAACGATGTTGAGGCTAGCGGCGAACAAGTGTTTGGGCCGTGCAGCGGCGTCGTCGTCGTCGTCTCGCCCTGTGGCTACCCGATTCTATCACGAGAACGTGATAGACCACTTCAACAACCCTCGCAACGTCGGTTCCTTCGACAAGAACGACCCCGCCGTCGGCACCGGGCTGGTCGGGGCGCCGGCCTGCGGCGACGTGATGAAGCTGCAGATTAGGGTCGATGAGAAGACGGGGGAGATCGTGGATGCTCGATTCAAGACCTTCGGCTGTGGCTCCGCAATCGCGTCGTCTTCTGTAGCCTCTTTAGTCTTCCTCTTGTCGCCTTTCCGACACCGTTTTCCTCTTCGAAAAAAAACAGTCGTCTGTCTCCCTGAGGCTGCTTAAATGATTGAAATCGCACTGCCTTCTGGAAAGCTATTCAATTGAATTTCTGCAATCGAATTACTCCCTGTGTCTCTGCAACTCCTTTTGGTCCATGGATCAGATCCTCTTCAACCAATACGGCGCCGCCGGCACGGTATCCGAGGTGGAGAAAATACTTGGCTACGTCTTCAACGACAAAGAGCTGCTGGTGGGTGCGCTGACGCACTCGTCGTCGATCCCGAGCCCGAGGAACTATCAGCGGCTGGAGTTCGTGGGCGACGCCGTGATTCAGCTCGCCGTCAGCAATTACCTCTTCCTCCAGAGCCCTCCGCTCGATCCGCGTAACCTCTCCCTCCTCCGGGCCGCCAACGTCAGCACGGAGAAGCTTGCCCGCGTGGCGGTTCGCCGTGGGTTTTACAAGTTCGTCCGGCGAAACTCTGCCGCTCTTGATGACCGGGTGAGTCGTCAATTTACTCCCCAAGTTTTCGACTATGTTTCTACACTCTGTTTCTTCAAGTTATATTGAAAGAGTATAGCATTTTCGTAGTTTAATTGTGGAATAATTCCTAAATACACATAGCGGTTTGGGCCGGAGCTGGAGACGGTTCGGAAGGAGGTTAGGGTGGAGGAGTTTAATAAAGCCGTGGATGTGATGTATGCAGGATCGACTTTTTTCACCTCACCGCCTCCGAGTACGTTTCCTGTGCCGGCGTTTAATTGTGTGATCAATGAAAAGGTCAAAGGATCAGAGCTGATGATTTGGTAGATGGTGGCGATGATGGTTCGCTTCCTGGTGACCAGCCGGACCTTCAACCGTGATGGCGGCGGGTGGAGTCTGGGAGGAGAAAGCGGGTTCGGCGGAGGTAGTAGAAGAATTAGGTTTTAATTTTTTTTAGTGATAATAATAATTAGGTGGAATATTTAAAATATAATTTTTTTTATTATTTTTAAGTGCCACGTCACACATTTAACGGTCAATTTTGAGAGTTGACTGCCACATCAGCCAAAGTTAACAGAGTTGGACGGAGAGTGACCGAACTTGAAATGTTTTACTAATTTTAGTGACCACGAATGGAATTAAAAATTTTTAGTGACTAAACATGAACGTTTTTAGTAATCTCAATGACCAACCTTGCAATTAACCCCTAGTTTAAAGTTTCGGTCACTTGTATCTTTATGTCTTAGTGTTCTGTTTTCATTATCTTTTATCATTAATTTTTGACTGGCAAACGTTGGGAGGTGACATGTCATTAAAAGATTAATTTGCTCTGCAATGCATTAAAAAAATCTAGACTTATGAAACATAATTTTTTTTACTAAAGTAAGAAATCGGGGTGAATCGAGCAAGCCCCAGTCATTTCTCCCCCTTCTCTTCTTCGAGAAAACCTTCGAACCCTAACTATAAGAGAAGAAAATCATCGCCGATCTACCTGGGGAATCGCCGAATAGACTTTGCGTCATCATCAATTCGTCGACGACGGAGTGCCGAACGAAACGAAACCTTCTTCTGGACGTCGTAACCAAGTTTTTGCGAGGGAGATTTTATCGATCGAAAGACTCCCTCATCCTTAGACGTCATTGACGTTGAAGAGGTTGAGGCACCTTCCTCCTTAAATAGCATAAGTGAATCTAGAGTCGGTGTGTTACCCCAATTTCTAGGGTTTTAGGTTTGGAGTTGTGAGAAGCTACTTGAAGGAGGCACCACAGTTGTTAATCTGAATGATATGGCCTGCACTTGCGCAGAGTGGGGTTTAACTTGCATCCCTTGTGTACATGCACCTTTGTCATTGGTTGGAAGATGTTCAATCCTGTCAACTATGTGCACAATGACTACCATGTGGCATTTGCGAAGAATGCCTACAAAGATGGCATATTGCTTTGTATGGACAACAAGTTTGGCCAGATGTTGTTGGGTTTCCTGTCTACCCACCAAAATTCAAAGCAATGCCTGGTCGACCAAAAAAGCACAGGAACAAGGGGGATAAGGAGGTCGAGACGGCTCCACATCGAGCCGGTGGGGTTGCAATTGGTTAGGATGAACAGACCCAACCACTGTAAGAGCTGTGGGCTTTAGGGACATAATAAGAGGAAATGCCCTGAAACTCCTAGGCAACAAGAAAATGTTGTGGTAAAAGACATTTCATTATATTGTTGAGTTATTTTAAACTTCATATTTGGCCTTGATTATCAGTTCTCCATTTTCATTAGGTTTTTAGCCGTGGTCGTGAACGTGGAAGAGGCTGAGATGATACTATGATGTAATTTGGCTTGTAGTGTGGACTTCATACACTCTTCTTTAGAAACATGTAATTTGGCTTGTAGAAGCATAGTGTAGATGCTAAGGTGTTAGTAGAGGATGTCTATGATACAAACAAAGTTCCTATCGGGTTTGATATTTGGGGATTAGGGTTTATATGAACATAATTAGGGATTGAGATTGGGATTTGAGATAGAAGACGAGAAGAATCAGCCTAGGCCTTAAAAGAATTGAGAACAAGAATTGAGATGATAGGGAGATTAGGGTTTGGAAGGCTTTTTTTAATATTCTTCTTATTGATTATGACGTAAACCCAAATTACATACTTATAGGAAATACTAGAAAACCCTACAATAAACCTAATTCATCTAAAATACTACTAACCATATTTAATAAATATTCTAATAAATAATAATAATGATAAATAGATAGAACAATGATTTCCTTGAGAAACCGTGTTTCTATCATCTCGTCCCCTTGAAATCAACCTTGACCTCAAGGTTGTAGTCAATTTCAGCTTCGTTGGTCTCTCCTGTCTTCGCCCCTATATATCGACCTTAATGTAGAACTTGCTTGCGCTTCCTCGTCTTCCAATTACGCTCCAACACTCGAACAAGCCACTTCGCACAATCAACTTCCCCGAGCATGAACTTCTCATAGGTAGCTATGCGGCCCTTCCTCCTCATGCCGCCAACTCCAGGATCATCATCAATCATATTTCCTCTCCTCCCTACACGTGCCAAGGAGATGGAGCCTAGATCCACAATAGTCACCTATAACCCCTTCCTTCCACTACAAGAATTTTTGTTTCTTCTGGCACCCATTTTTATCAAAATAGATCTGAACTTCGTCATAATAGGTTTATTTTGACAAAATATTTTTTCACACTTTTAGTCAAAACTACCTCGTCAAAATAAGTCTAAAATGACAAAAAAAAATTGTCACAATAAGTTATTCCTATTTTGACAAAATTATTGTCGTTATAATATCCACCTATTATGACAGAATGGGTGTGTTAAAAAAAGGGTATATTTTGTCAGAATAGGGGGTATTTTGTGACAACATTCAACACTTTTTCCCCAACTATTTTGACGAAATATGTAGTTGTGACGAATAGTTTGTCATCAGATTTTGTCATAATACACGTAGTGTAGGATCTTTGTACTTATTTTGACAAACGAATTTGGTCAAACAGAAGGCACCATTTCCCAATTTTGGCCATTTAGACTTGTTATTTTGATGACCTGTTTGTCAACTTAAATCCTTATTGTGACAACCGTATGTTAGTGGTTATTACGACACCATTGATAATAACAAAAACAAACTTCATGTCCAAAAGATGGATATCATTCTTGTGCCACCAACCATTCATGTCTTGACACTCATAACTTATCTAGAAGCACAATACTTAAAAACAAAAAAGCAAACCGAAAGTCTACATCAGCCCTGCCCAACAAAAGCTAATCTAAGCATCCATAAGCTGCCGGTGGAGACTCCAAGTGCATCACCACAGCTGACGTGTTTCCTGCACAGTTGCAAAAGCGAAGGCAAAACGATTAGACTCTATTATAGGCGCAAAATTTCTTAATGTAAAAACATCTTTCTTATTACCTGAAACTAAGTGCTACCTCCATTGATTTTCGCAGCAAGTGACTCCACATACTCCTTGAGACTGTCCAGTGATGTTTGCAAGACATCGATAGTCGTCTTATGACCTCGTTTCTCTTCTTCCTGTTTTTCGATCTGGTCTTGCTGAGATTTGATTTTATCT